AACAAGACAGACACAGACTTCAGAGGATAATCAGAACTGCAGAAAAAACAATTACTGCCAACCTGCCTTCCACTGAGGACTGGTACACTGTACAGGACTGTCAAAAAGAGGGTCGTGAAAATATTTACAGACCCAACACCCTGGGCATAAATTGTTTCAACGCCTACCCTCAAAACTACGCTATAGGGCACTGCACACCCGAACAACTAGACACAAGGACAGGTTTTTCCCGAACGCCATCACTCTGCTAAACAAATAATTCCCTCAACACTGTCAAAGTATTCACTAAGGTTGCATTACTGTTACTATTAGTCTTCTCATCGTTCCTATCACCCATCTTCTTCCTCTTACGATTGTAACTTTGTATGCTTACGATTTATAAAGATATTGATTATTCCTGATTGCTTATGTGTACTCTGTAACTATCATTAAGTGTTGTACCTTATGATTCTTGACGAATGTATCTTGTCTTTTTATGTACACTGAGAGCATCTGCATCGAAGACAAACTCCTTGTGTGTCTAAACACACTTGGCCAATAAATAATGCTATTCAATTCCCATTCCATTGCAATCCTATTCTATTCCTTATCCTATCCTAATTCTAACCCCTCCCTATCTTAAACGTGGATGTTTCTATTTGTAGGATTCATATGCCCCCCTCCCTCCTCATACAACAATCCCTTAAAAGCCAAATTAAAGAGGGACATGAAAAATAAAATACAATAAAACATAAAACATCCCCGCAAAGGAGCAGACCAAAACCTCCTCCCGGCTTAACCCCCTCCCCCTCCATCCTAGCCTGACGCTCGGGGTGGGGGGGGGGAAGAAGAGAGGCGTCGCCCCCCCTTTCCTCCCCGTTGCATTTCGTGGTCTGATTTCGCCCCCTCCCCCACCCCCTCAGGGGCGCGTGTGTGTGTGTGGCGGGGCAGCCCCTCCCCTCCCCCACAGCCCCCCTCACCGCTTTGCTCGCCGAGGAAAACCAGCTTGAACTTGCGCAGCGGGTTGCCGAATTCTCCGCCGGCTCCTCCTCCGGGCGCCGACATGGCTGAGGAGCGGGGACGGCGGCGGAGCAAAGCCGGGGCCGAGAAGAGAAAGAGAGAGAGAGAGGGAGAGAGAGGGAGACAGAGACGCCTCAACGGGTGCGCTCTCCACCGCCTGGCAGCCGCCTTACGTCGCTTCCGGCCTCGCGCGCGCGCATGCGTCACTTCCGCCTAGCGGCTCCTCCCACCCTCCCAAGGAAAGGAGATGAGCTCATCCCGCCCGGGCGGGGTAGGGCGAGGCGGAAAGGAGCGCCGTGACGTCACGGGGAGAGGGAGGAGGGGGAGGCGCTCGGTGTTGTTAGAGCGACGAATGGATAGAGTTGTGAGAGAGGGAGGCGAGATTGGCACTTTGGGGCCGGTTCTTGGAGGCCGTGGCCGAGATTGTGATGGGACCAGGGACGTTCTCATTCAGTTTCATTGCAAGGACTTATACAATCAGCGAATAGAATAGTAATTGGAACAGGATAGAATTTGGAATAATGGAATAACAGAATAGAACAGAGCAAAATATAGAAAAAGAAATAATAAAAATGAAAATAGAATAGGAATAGAATAGAATATGGAATAATAGAACAGAACATAGAAATAGAAATAATAGAAATAGAATAGAATTTGGAATAATGGAATAATAGAATAGAACAGAATATAGAAATAATAGAATTAGAATTGAATAGAATTTGGAATAACAGAACAGAACAGAATATAGAAATAGAAATAATAGGAATAGGAGTAGAATAGAATTCTTTATTGGCCAAGTGTAATTGGACACACAAGGAATTTATCTTTGGTGCATGGAACAGAAATTGCCTGCAGAAGTTTGTGGGAGCTTCGTCACTGAAGCTTTCAAGAAGAGAACTGGACTGCCATCTGTCAGAAATGGTGTAGGGTCTCCTGCTTGGACTGGGAGTTGGACTAGATGACCACTAAGGTCCCTTCCAACTCTGCTAATCTGTCAATGAGACAAAGGAGACCTTTGAGTTAATTCAGAACCGTCCAAAGTCCTTAAGAGCCCGGCGATGTAAAAAAATACTGTATTATTACGATCGATGTGATCATCATTATGAATAATATTGCTAAAATGGCCACACTCCACTTTCTAACTAAAGTCCTGTTATTTTACTTTCTTTAGTTTTACTATTTTACTTTCTTTAGTTTTAGTATCACTCTATTTGTTTGTCTATGGTACCGGCCACTTGAGAGGCATTGAAACGGTAGTAGGCGCCACAGCAACCATTACTTCCGGTTTTCGGTTGAGATGAAACTAGACTGCGAGGGGCCGAGCGCCCCCTAGAGGATGGCTCGTAAATCACATGGGCGGACCTAGAGATAGAAATGCAGCTTGAAAATGCATTTCCTGGGAATGAATGAAATTTCTTCCAAGCCTTCTTTTCCTGTGGGGATTCTCTCATAGGACTCAGCGGAATAAATCTAAATTCTACTTTATCAATGATTGATCAACAAAACATTCGCTTTCTACAATTCACACAAACCTAGCAAGAATGTGCAACCTATTCCCCCCCCCCCATGCTTTATAATACATGCTGTGTGAATCCAATCACTTTCAGTTAAATACAGATTTGGGAGTCTGCAATTAGAAGATAGAAATTACAACACTCCCAAGATGAGAAAATTTGATTTTCACAGAGCAACGCTTTCTTTGCAAAAGACTCTGCTGAATTTTTCCATTTAATTTCTACAGGGATGATGCTAATTTCACTTCCCTGAGACCTTCAGAAAGAGATTTTCATTTCCCCACCTTTTCCTACTACCCATTTGCTTGCCAGTCTCTAAAACCTGCATAGGCAAGATGATAAGCATGGTGGGAGCAGCAGAGGGTTTCCTTTGAGTAATTGTTTTTTGTAACAAGGAGAGCTTTTGATGAATGTTTCTATTTCTTTGAAGTTAACAAGCAAGAATGTGGATTCTGATAAGAACCGGCTCAGACTGGTGGGGGACAAGAGTTGCCCAAAGAGTTGAAGTTTAATAACCTGAAAACTCATTGTAATGTGGGAAACACACCTCTTGAATATACAATTAGGTATGGACAAGATAATGCTAAGAATATTATAGGATTCTTTGAAGGGTTACCTAGTTATTTGTTGTTCAGTCACTAAGTCATGCCTGACTCTTAGTGACCCCCATGGACCATAGGATGCTAGCCCCACTCCACATATGTTACATGGTACATATATAGTTACCGAGCATGCTCACTAAGTGCTCAATAACTCAAATGATGTTGGCCAATTGAAAAATGCATTCCAAACTCAACATATATGAACTGTATATAAAGTGATTTATTTCCTTTTAAGAGCCCTTCACCCTATACCTGTCTGTATGTGTGTGGGGGGTATCTATCTATATCTATATATCTATATCTATATCAGTGGTGGGTTCTGGATCCCATTGCAACTGGTACGGTGGAATGGAGCCCGGCGTCCACCACATGAATGAGCGCAGCACGCGTACATATGCATGCAGATGCATACTTACCACCTGTGACACTCCGCGATGCCTCTGCAATGCTCCAGCTGCTCGGCAGAGTGTCGCGCACGCACCGAAGAGCTCAAATACCGGTAAGGAGCGCGGGTGAGCCCTTCAGAGCACAATACCGGAACGGTATCCGGTGCTCCTGGCAAGCACCGGTATGCCCGTACTGGGGCGTACCAGTCTTAACTCACCACTGATCTCTGTCTCTTATCTATCTATCTATAAATGGCTGTGTGTGTACATTTGTGTGTGTATGTATGTGTGTGTGTATGTGTATATATATATNCGGGTCCACTAGTGGAACCTCTTCTAACCGGTTCGGTAGATTTGACGAACTGGTTCTACCGAATAGGTGCGAACTGGTAGGAACCCACCTCTGCTTGGATCTATCTAATATTTGCTGATAATTTTTGATTTTTGACAGGTGTGGTGAAACGAAGCTGCACAGAGGAAGGCTGGTCTGACCCAATCCCACCTTATTCGGTGGCTTGTTCGATGGAAGATGAGGCCTCCCAGGATGAAGTGAGTGCAGGGGGCAGGGGGGGGGGAGATAAAGGCTGATACAGACTGATACTATTTGTGAGTGTGTGTTTGTGTGTGTGATCGCAATATCTCTATCTCTATGTCCGAGGTGGGTTGCTGCAGGTTTCGGCCCACTTTGGTAATGGGCCGAAACTGGTAATGGAATTCAGGCCTGAGTCACAGAACAGGCAGCAGCCCAGGCCGGCCACGCCCCCCCCCCCCGGACTGGTTCCCTCACTGCCGCTTGGGCGCCGCCACTTAGGATTTTAGTGACTGTGCATGCACAGTTCACTGTAAATTGTTTCGCGCATGCACAAAGAAGAATTTACATTAAATAGTGCACACATGCGCAGTGTGCGTCTGGCACGTTGGGGGTTACGAACCGGCAGTAATGTCGGCAGCAATGAATCTCTGATATCTGTATGTATGTATGTATTTATGTGTATTTATATCATCTATCTATCTATCTATCTATCTATCTATCTATCTATCTATCTATCTATCTATCTATCTTTCTATCTATCTATCTATCTCTACCTACCTACCTACCTACCTACCTACCTACATCCATCCATCCATCCATCCATCCATACATACATACATACATACATACATATATACATACATATCTACATACATACATACATAGATACATACATACATACATACATCTATATCTCTACCTACCTACCTAACCTACCTACCTACCTACCTACATCTATCTATCTATCTATCTATCTATCTATCTATCTATCTATCTATCTATCTATC